TTGGATTTCCAGGCCTCCAAAACGCCATTGTTGAGTGAATGGCCAAAGCGCATAAAAACTGTTCCATTTTTAGTTGAAAACGGTGTCATGTACAGAATGAATTCCGAAACTACTGAATCTCTTTCAAAACGAAGGTTGACGGGCTGTACTGAAGCCAAGTGGTATTGGCATTGGTAATGAAAAGAAAGTCCACAGAAAAACCTTGATTTGAATTGTGTTAATAATGAAACTGAATGACTGAAGGCTTTCGTTTTGAGGAAAAATCTTTGCACCCTCAAGTATGACTGTCCATGAGCCAGTGAATGCTTTAGTAAGGCTACAGCTGCTCCTCTGTTTCTTTACTCGCAACAATCATTAGGCTAATCATTTGAAGAAATACACAAGCTACTGTACAGTAGCCATCCTTCTGACATGCATGTATTGGAAAGAAAAAAAAACAATCCAGTATAAAAGCTGATTCAGGAAATGTATAAGTCTGTTTTTTTTCATACAAGAACCTTTTTAAATTTCACATTGAATTTTCTTATTTTTGGTGTTTATAAAAGCAAACATCCAGACAAAGACAGCTGGTCACAGCCATGCATTGTAGACCAAGGACACTCATGAGAAAAGCATTTAATTGGAACAGGAATCTTTTGTAACAATTAAAGTCTTCACTGTCACTTGTGATGCAATTCAATAAAGCTTTTCACACCAAGGACAATAAAACAATAAAGATAATGATAAAGATATAGTTCTAAAAATCATAGATGAGTTCACACCACAGCTACGTATAACGATAACGGCACCGAGAAACAAAGGTAATTGGACTAACTTTCAAAACGATTTTATCCAGCCGATGAACGATTGAAACATTGACAGCCAATCAGAATCAATCCTGCTATAACGAACCCCAGCATTTAAAGACGCAGACAGAATTGTATTGTCCCCTGGTGTGAACGCTATTATAGTTATCTTTATAACATAAAACTTCAAATAATAGCCTGGGCTTTTATTTTCCCAAATCGTTGAACTGCACAATTTGTATTTGAGACCTGCTTCTATTGAGTAAGGAGTTGACGTCATAGACTGTAAAAAAGATGGACGACGCCCCTTCGCTCTTTTCCATCAGAGAGAAGTGAAGCCGCCAGCATCCCAAAATGGCGCTGACATCTTGGAATTTGCGTTTTGGGACCAGACATGCAGAGTCGTGAGCAGGAAGTAAAGTCGCGAAATCAAGGCTCCGCCCTCATTCTTGCTGAATCAAACGCAAACACACGCCCCGCACTTTTATTAAGTGGCCTCTGTCTGCTCCGTTCCTCTCCAATGATGTCTGCTGATTGCAGTACCTCGTTAAAATAAGGTAAATACAACTACTAACCACATAGTCAGCATTATGAAAAAAAAGTCCGCTGGTGCTTCAGTGGGGAGGGTGGAGGTTGTTGAGAAAAGTAAGAAAAGTCTGAAATCTGCGAAAGTCTGCATCTGCGAACTCAAACATGTGTAAGTACCGATCTTTTATACGACAAGAATAAGAACGTGATTGGATAACCCGAAGGTAACACTTGACGCGGTAATTAAGTCTTCCTGGCAGAACTTATGCTAAAGCTTTCATTTCTGAAACTTACATGATATTCTTATAATATAATGACCTCTTAGATGTCAAAAGCTCAAGGAAAATTTGATTTCGCAGTTTATCACCCCTTTAACAACCCGAAACTAAAAAACAGGCCCGGCCTCTATTTGAGACCGGCTTTTATTTACCCAAACCTGCAGCCACACCAGGCGTGTAAAAGAGACAGGCGTCTATTTGGGACTTGACTATTATTTGAAGATTTACGGTAATTCTCGTTCTTGGTGAACGGGCCATTAGTGCTGTAAATGTATCAGAATGGAATATGCTTATGATTCTATTTAGTATATACTGTATGTTAAAAGATTAATAATTGTTCTAAAATGTTAATTGTTTTGTCATGTTCTGAACTACATTAACTAATGTTAACCAATTGAACTTCATTGTAAATTGTTACCAATTACTTGGAAAGTTGACATATAGGATTTTAGTCAGTCCTAGATACCTTATTTTTGTGCGCGGTCGGCATCAGATGCATAGGCAACCCATCTGAGAATACAAGTGTAGTATGAACAGAAGTCATAGTTAGGGTTGGGTATCGAGAATCGAGTATCGTTTGGAACCGGGACTAACTTTTCGTTTTTCCCGGAATCGTTCAAAAGTAAAAATTTCGATTCCTAGTTTCGATATTCACAGTCCGCCGAGCGGAAGAAGAAACCGCTGAACAACACCAACGAAGAAGCGTCTACCGGAAGTGTTAGCATAACCGCGCGAGTCGAACATGAGTAGCTTACGTCGGCGGTCCAAAGTGTGGCTTCACTTTTCTAAAAATAACGAAATCGGCAAAATGCAAAATTTGTGACAAAAGGAGTATTTCCTTCAGAAAGGATTATTTCCTTCAGAAAGACCGTTGGTTAGCAAGGTTAGCTAAACTTTTTTGACCCTGCCTCTTAAAAGAATCGGAATTGAGAATCGTTAGGAACCGGAATCGAAACAAGGAATCGGAATCGGAATCAGAATCGTTCAAATTCAAACGATACCCAACCCTAGTCATAGTAAACTATAGTGTGCTATGCGACAACACAGACTATTCACCTTTAACTGCGATATCAAACTTGCATCACAGCAATCAATGAAAGTTGAGAATAAAGTTGCAACTGTTCACTCATCTTTGACTGCTTCATCTCTTCCCTCAGTTTCTCCACATCACACCACTGTTGGCCTTGTGGGGAAATGTATTGCTGTGTTGCATATGTTGCATTAAAGAGACATTGTTAAGCTGAATCACTTTTCAGCATTTGTGTGTAGAAAGCAGAAACATGACAGACCCAGATGTCACATTCATAAAGTATTCATGCATAATAACATTTGCGAGGCATCCAGGAATTTATTGCACGCATTCAGATGAGGAACGTTTTTGCCCGTTTGAGTAAACACCACGTCATGGAAAGCTTATGCAAAACTATGTATATAAACAACTTGTTTCTCAGCTTGCAATGTTTAAGATTCAAAATGATGAATTTGATTTTTCTCTTGGTCACAATGGAATTTTCATATAATATTTGATGATGAGACTGCTTTGAGGTTCTGCGCCAAGTTGGCAAACACACATCATAACTAAGATATTTCTTTTCACCTTGTCAAAGTAGCAATGTTTTATAACTTTGTCAGGGAGTACAAATATGTTCCAGTAAACCTTTATTGTACAGTTTTTCACATTGGTGCTTCATGTCATGTATCTTAATAAAAAGTTAAGTCTTTTTAATTTCAGTAGCGGGACCAGCGGATTAATGCATGCATGAAACACAGGTTTAATTTTTGACACATGGGATTCAAAATCTAATTTAAGAAACTACAATAATTATAGACATTCTAAATTTTATGTACATTTTTAATTAATAATAATAAAAAATGATTCATGTAATAAAAAACTGTAAAATAAGATAATTTTTACCATTTGTTTCAGATTTCTGGATCCCACCATAGATGGCCTCAAAGCTATCAGATGTATAAAGCCACAAAACTTCAATTCTGATTTCAAGTGGGCTTTAATTCTCTATTCATCTTAAATGTTTACGTTAAAATAATCCTCAGAAAACCTACTTTAGGAATGCAGAACAGGCTCTTAGGACTTAAAATGCTGGTCAACAGGTAAGCTCATGGTGGAATGGTATTAAATCCATTTGTGCAAGCAGTAAGCCCACTCAACCCAGCTCCAGCTCTCTCTGTGTGCTGAATTAGTGACGGCTGTGTTCAGGGCTTAATTCAGGCCAAACGGCATTTAGCTGAAAATGGAATGGAAATAGAAAATGCCAATGAGGTGAGACAGGGAGAGGCAGGGAAATCGCTAACCTGCCTTCCATGCTACAGAGGAGAAATGCTATCGATTTGCTTTAAATTGTCTCCTGCCCAAGGAAAGAGTGTCAAGGGAGACAGCTGGAGGTGATGAGGTGCCATGTGTGACTGCTTACACTTTGAATGATGCCTGAAGTACAGGATGTTGGGTTGTTTGAAATGATATACTACCATACTACTTCTGCTTGGAATGCAGTATGCAGTGTATTTGGATTAACATTGAAGAAAATTATTACTTAGCAAACTGAACTGAATGACTGTTTCAAATACTCCTAATATCTTCCAGTGTTTAGAAAAACAGGTGTCACCGTTTAACTTAAAAATGTAAGTAACTTGGAAGCCTTAAAAATTTAGTTCATTGAAAGTAAAAAAAAATTCTTAATACAAAGAAGGAGATTGGTTTAATCAACATTTTTTTTTTACTTTAGTATTTAATACTACATTTTATTGTTTATTTTTGAACTTTAATTTTATTTTTTTATGGTTTATATATATATATATAAATATATATATATTATTTATTTATTTATTTTATTTTATTTTTTTTTTTCATAATTGCTCATTATGGCTGAAAAGGCACTAAAAAAATTGATTGTTCACCCAAAACTAAAAGCTGTATAAAGTCCTATGTTTTCTGAACAACATGAGGATGTTGAAAATGTTGACAAATATTCTTTTATAATTCAGCTATTTTATAAAATAAAAAGGTAGGAGTGGCATTTTTACTTTCACACTAATATTTAATTATTTTTATAATTGTGTCAAGGAACCAAAGATTCCCATACCAGGCACATTGTCACAAAAGGTGTTAAATCAGAGTGGAAATGTTCACTTTTTGTAACCACGACTTTACGGTTTATACATTTACAAAACATTACATTAAAAAAGTGTGACAACTAGCCATAGGCTGTCTGTCTCAACGGCACAGCACTTCTCACCCAAACACCCTTGAATGTCTGAAATTGTCCAGGATCTCTTTCAGAACAGGCGTGGTACAAATAGGTCAACCCATATCAAGTTGGTCTAAACATAATATTGAGCATCATCAAATGCATGATGTGGTTTCATTGCATCCTTGCTCTTTTGCCCTCAGGGTTTTCAGATGTGCTTCATTTGTGAGCAGACTATCAGTAACAGCCTTGTGGACACCATTTCATCACCTGTGTCCATCCTATTCCCCATTTCTGCCATCAGCATGACTCCAGTGAAGGCTGCAGGACCCCCAGCTGCTAGCTGTCCCTGGGCCTGGCAAGAACCCCTTTTACTGGGTAATCATACCTACCAGCCCCTTTTGATTCAGCTGATAGAGCAGAAGGTGGCCTGCAGCACCGCTGGAAAATGAAAAGGACCTGAGTTTGAGCCTTGGGGGATTCCAATCAGCTTGACGGTCATGGTGCACACTAGAGGTCAAATGATTTAGCGTTTTTGCTAATTAAGTGAGCAGCTTTTGTAACTTTTCGATATTGGCTAAACAAACAGTTTAACTAGACTACAAAAACAAAACAAAGCTACAGTATGCAACTACAGCTGTTTTCTGCCTCAATGGGGAAAGATTGAAATCAATGTGAGTTTTTTTTTTTTCCTTTGAATTGGACTTTAAAACTCGCAATTGAGAGAAAAAAGTTCTGTTGCGGAAACGAGCTAATTAATTTAGTCCATGTAATGCACGTGTATAGGACCTTTAATGTTGATGCTTGAAAAAACACAAAAAGTGAACACAGTAGTAATCCCAGTAGAGGATTCAAAGAAACAATCAATTGACTGTAAGTCAGGACTTTTAATTCATGCAGCTGCCATATTGAGTGTTGAATAATAAAGGCGATTGGCTCTGAGGTGAGACACTTCAGCGTTATAATATCCCCCATTCATATACAATACGTATAAGTGGACATATAAAATATGTATAAAATTATTCCTTGTTTTGTTTTTATGGCGAACACGAGAGATTATTTTCTGTTCGCTCAATCAAAGAGAAATATTCATTAGTGCTGCTTTGGAAGTAGGCTTGCAGGATGGCGAAAATAGGTTATGAAACTCTTGAAATCCTTTCAGCACTGTCTCAATTTCTCCCTTCAAATGCAGGTTGGGTAAAAACCAGCATACACAGACCAGCCTTTAGCACCTATAGTGTTATAAAGCTAGTTGTGGGACATGTAATGGAGGCAAGCTAGTAAGAGCTGTGTGTGTAAACCTCACTCCCCTGGCCTCAAGACATTCTCTAGTGACTGATGCTAGAGACAGTGTTCACAGACACATCCCATGTAGGAGACAACGGTTTGAATTGTGCTTGGAGCGGTGCAAGTAGGACTGGTTACAGATGTTCATAGAAGATCCATTCAACTTTGCAACATTAGATTAGCAATGCCAATTAGTGGGAACCCTAAGATCAGTGGTGGAATGTAACGAAGTACAAATATTTTGTTACTTTACTTAAGTACATTTTTCATGTATCTTTACTTTACTTAAGTAGAATAAATAGTGCATACTTTTTACTTTTACTTCGTTACATTTTGCAGCAATTATTATACTTTCTACTCCACTACATTTCTACAACTTCTGTTACATTTTCGTTACATTTTCTGATCAGTTTTTCCCCTGCCAAAACGTAATCTGACCGTCTGTTCGTTGCACGTTTGTCTCACCAGTGACGTTTGGTTGCCATAGATACATCAACTAAATGCGTCTCGCACGCAGTGTGTTTATCGTGCAATTTATACGCGAAAATTTGTTTTTACGTGCATAGGAAAGGAAACACACTGTGTGTAATATACGTTTGGTTAGGATTATGGCAAGCCAAGAGGTTCAGAATTACACCATAAATTAAGAAAATAGTCATTAAGAGAATCAATTGTTATGCAATAAAATAAAAAATATATTAAAATATACATTGTTATGCAAGTACTTTTACTTTTAATACTTAAAGTACATTTAAAATCAGGTACTTTTTACTTTTTACTTAAGTATGGTTGCCATTGTGTTACTTCTACTTTTACTAAAGTGAATATTTATCTGGTTATTTGTACTTTTACTTAAGTACTGAGATTCAGTACTTCCTCCACCACTGCCTAAGATGCAGTTTTGTATCCAAGAGTATTGGGTGCGTAACTTCTTATTTAATGGCATAATCTATTCCCATTCCCTCTACACAAATGAGAGACACCTGGGTACTCATTACTCACAGCTGTATTGAGGTTTCAGAGAAGGTTGCTATTTTACACATAATAATCCACGTTGATCACAGTACAAAAAACTGAAGTTGTCACATTGTCAATATTTTTTGAGACCCCCTAAAATTTCACAAATTACATTTTCAGGGGAGTCCATATTTTATTAAGTGGAGCCATTCGCACCCTGGTAGAAACCAAAGACTGTAAGGTAGAAACCCAAAAATCAAGAAAAACAACGTCAGAGAGGCAAATCAAGTGGTCTCGCGCATCCAGTCGCTTCACTTCTGAAATGCTCCTGGTGTGAGTTGGCACCACGAAGGACGTAATAAAACCTTGTTGCAGCCGTTGTACACAAACGAAGATCTGCTGCAAGGAGATGGCATTGCTGACACCTGTACCGAACTGTAATGAGCTCATGGTGAGACAAAACAGGTAGGCCTATGCTTCATGCTTTCCTTGTTAGGGTCGCATATGGTGATCACATCCTGTTTTTGGTTTGTGTTGAGTTCATATTCCTGTAAAACCGCACCAGTGTTCGTTTGCAAAAGGACCGAGACCCATGTTTTCATGGTGGGGTTTGTTTTAATCGAACCACACAATGCCAAGTGTGAACGCACCCTAAGACCCTGTGCTGTATCCTGGCAGTCATTGACTTTGGCCTTCAAACATTCCACCTCATTGCTTTAGTGTCACAGCTTTTGACCATATCAAAGTATTCCGGATGGGCTCTGGAGGTCCCTGAAGGGCTGTCTGCAGTGCTTCCAAAAGCACAGAGATGCCGACACACACATGAATGGAGCAGCGGGAAGGGGAGACAGGACTCAAAAACCTCTACTTCCAGGCTCATCTGACAGGGCAGACTGCTTCTGCTCATCCCCAGAGACCCTCTCTGCCTCTGGGTCACCTCTACCGAACCTCTCCCTGCCGACTTTCATCGATATGCTCTTGGCGATTGCCAGTCTCGGTGGTCTCGCAGTCACACTCTCTCTCTCTTCCTCTGTCCCACCCTTCAATCTTCATCCCTGCTTTCCTGCTATATTGATTTTCTATTCTCTTCTTTTCCCCCTTCTCTCTATCTCTCGCTCGCCTCTACTCTCTTGTGTTCTTGGCTTGTTTTTACTTGCGCCCGTGTCAGGGAGGGCGAATGCCAGGATCTCTTTCTGTCCAATGAAGTTGGAGTCTTGGCAGCACGCATCGGTCCTTAACCTGCACAAATGTAGATGTAATTTAATTGAGAAGAGGGTAATGGAATCTATGGGCAGTGGACTTGATCTTGTTAGAAGGGCAAGTTCTGGACAGGCTCCATGAGGAGAAAAAAATCAAAGGTTCAGCTTTGTTTGAATTGAAGCAGAGGCTTTTAGTGGAGCCCTCTCTCTCTCTCTCTCTCTCTCTACCTCTACCTCTTCTCTGTCAATATGTACATTCTGAAAACTGAAAATATTTGTTGTATCATAACAATAGCTCTTTTATTGGCTTGAGGTTGGCAAACTTGGTAAAATTGGATGGTAATATATTGAAGATGTGTTAAAATTACTCCCTTTTTTACAAATTTTTTTTTTACAAAGGTTTGTCTCAGTTAATTTATGTCTTTGTTGACTACTTAAGTAACAATTTAAGTTGACATCCACCCATCTCCCCACCCGACCTAACCCCTTATACATCCAGAATACCCATTGCACAACTATTTGCAAATCAACATAAAATCTTACTGATTGACCTAAAATTGGAAAAGTATAAATATATTTGGTGTTTTATTTGTTTTATAATATTTCTAAGATTAGATTTTTGTAATCTATAACATTTGGAAAGAAAAACTATTTTATCAAGGATAGTAACACGAGTTATGTTTGGGCTCAATCTCGCAAAAAAAAAAAAAAATGGTGTTTTCCCCTCCCCCATGGCACAGGAAACATCAAAGTTCTCGCAAAAATTATGTTTTCTTTCCCCTCCCCATGGCACAGGAAAGAATTATTAGTTCTCTTGAGAATTATGCCACATGTCATGCGAACTATTAGTGGTTTTCACAATACTACAGATATGGTTATGTTTGGTTAGATCCCTAAATCAGAGGGAAGTTTTTTGAATATGATATTGAAGATGTAAAATTACAATGAACATTATAAATTTAAATTATAACATGTTATAGTGACCTCAATAAAACAACCAAAACAAATGTGTGTGAAATTTTAATATTTCTTCTGTTTTATGATACAACTAAAAGGGCCTAAAATGAACACCAATGCTACAAAATATGTACAGGACTTTTGAAAAAATATTAGCAGGTTAATTTTACTTTTACAGAGTTCCCCCCATTAAATTAGGAGTAGTCGTTAAATCTGAAGCAAAAATATTGCGTGTTTACAGACATTAAACATTGAATGAGGGTTAAAACAAACTCTGTTTCATCATACACTTATTTCTATTTATTTGTAAGATTGAGATTTTTGAGAGCAAGCCAAATCCTCAATTCACTTCAAACAACTGCTATCAGGTCGCAGTTCTATTCAACTGAGTGAGTCAGTTGTTGGTTCAGACCGATTCTGTGTCCGATGCATTTTATGATGACTCAAAATAACAATAAACAGTAAATCACTAATAACAATTTGTTGATCTACTAACACAAATCACACATTGCACATTGCCTCCTTTTGTTTCATTGAATTCAGATCTCACATGTCATGCTTGACTGAATTATAAACTTAAACTTGGTTCACCTCACTAGAAGTCAATGGGTGAATAGCCACTTTGTCAAATCCTGGCATCTAAGCACAATGTTTGTGACATTAGCTTAATAACATGTCAAGTGTTCGTAGTGAATTTATAAACCAATTTGAAAAGAAAAATTGTTTTGTAATTGCACAAAATAACTTATTTGTTATAAACCTGCAATTTACTGTATGGCTTTAGGTCATCTGTAGATATGGCATTGACGTCTTACCGTATTTCTTTAATTTCTTTCATTTGCAGTAGTTGCGTACTTGTTCTTTACATCCATTAGTCTTTTTCTCCATCTGCCCTTGATCCTGATTCCTCTCCACTCATCACTCATACCTTATTGACTCTCTTATTCCCTCCCCCTCGTTTTCCATCTCTATTGCTTTTATCCTCTCATTCATTCTCCAAATGAATCAAATCAGGTCTTGCTCTTGTACTTTAGCGCTCTCA